ATCGGATTCTATTTATAAATGATAAATGAAGTCATGATGACATTCTACGATATCATAACTCTGTTCCTTGGCTTCTTGCATCGAATACGTGCCTGCAATTTGCGGTACAATTAGCAGCACGTTTTTATTTGTGTGAAAACATTAAGCAACCTATTCTCGTGGGAAAGAATGCTAATCTTAGAATAATGCAACGTTTTCCATGAAACTCATTGCACACTCTTAAAATTTCACAATTTTATCGATAGAAATTATTCATGATACAATCGACTGATCTTATTCCGTCGAGCTGCTCATTTTAAGACGCGCCAGAAATATATTGTAATTTCTGTGGGGCACATTGAGGGTACATTGAGAAACGTGTTTCATTGTAAAAGGCGTGTATATGTTTGGTTTCATGGCTACGTGCGAAATTTTGCAAGATCTCGAAAGGAACCCCGGCGATTGGCTCATCCTCCAGTGAAAGCAAAAAGTTCTCTAAGCCTAGTATCTATCGAATTAGTAGAAGACGGGATTAGTAAACACACCGTGGAGATCGACGTTAAACCGAAGAGAGAGACATCCGTTTCAGGTGCGCGATTACACGGACTTTCATAATCGAGTTGGGAAAGTATCATTAATGCATAAATCTCCCTTTAATCTCAATACTCCCGTTTACGTTTAAGAGGCCGAGAGACCGCCAATGTCTGCCGGCTTATATCTCACGGATATGCTTAGTGCATAGGAAAATGAAATCGAAGTAATCGCGTGTACAGTTCGAGGCGCGCTGCGATAATCTCGTTTAGCTGCGGTAAGTATGTTGTTGGAGTCGATGCTGATCTAGAAAGGGATAGCTCGTCGCTCCTTTCTAAATCGTACAACTCGAGCTTATGAGCGCGAACAGCCGAAAAGTATCTCGTGGACACGATAAGCTGTGTCAGTATTTGAACACGGCTTTAATGAAACGTCCCAATGTTGTTTGTCACTCCTGATAATATACGTGATGAGCAAATTGCAGGAAGAATGATTTTGCTTGTATCTAAAAATTTAGCTAGATACAGATCTGAATAGTCTTGTTGGACCATCAAAATGAAATTATGTAAGAATTTCAAGTGTAATAAGTAAAGCTAATATTTCATTTCATCCTACGATAAATTTTTTAAGTATTAATTAGCTACAAAATAGAGAAATTCTCTACCTTGTAGCTCTAATTAACATTACTTGAAAAATTGTTATATAAAAAATAAAATATTACTCTCTAAATTTTTTGGAGCGGAATTTTCACTTTAAGGAGTGAAAATTGAACCAGTCTTGAAAAAGAGTGGCTCATTTTCTATCTTAAAAGTCCGTATTCATATTCGTAGATTGATTCACAATTGATCCTCATTTCAGGCGAGCTAGGTTTGAATCTAAGTTTGAACCAACTCAGTTTATTAAATCGTGGCTTGAGAAGAGTTTTTCAAATGAAAGACTGATTCACAAACCTAGCTTAAATCGGATCTCAGGTTGTCACGACTATGAATACGACCCTAAGAGTGAGATTTTATTCTTCAGAGTAATAATTTACTCTAAGCTAATCTGATGTTTCATTCGATGAGCTTCATCCATGACATCATCATGAATGCCTGTAGATAAAGCATCAAGTTAAGTCCAACCATAAATTAATCAGAAAATGAAAACTCGAATTTAAAGATTTTAGAGAATAGTCTAATGTTACAAAAAATTTTAAACAATCAACTTGTGAGCATTCTACATAATTATTTTTAATTGCTTGACAATTTATAATATTTATACATAATATTTAGCTTCAATTTACTATGTTGCAAATAATCGCACAGTTTGCTTAAATTGGAAATTGTAAAATTCATACAAAAATATTAAGATTCACTTTGACCAAATATAGTCTCCTTCGCTTATTTGTATCAAACATTTCTTGATCGATTTTTACTCAATGCAATTATTTTAAAAGTCCAATAGAATTATTTTTAAATCTGTATCTACCCAGATAACATTTATGTTGCATAAAATACGTCTAAAAGATATCTTTTAAATATCCTACGTTTAAAAGATGACTAAAAAGATGACGTTTTAGATATCTCATACAACATGCATGTTATCTGAGTAGTTAAATTTTTAGACATTTCAGCGAAACCATTCTTTTCTTATGAGAGAATGAAAGAAAAGAGAGAGCAAGGAAAGAAGCGGGGCATGCGGAGCAAGTTTTTGCAGCGTGCACGTTTTTCGTTAAAAACGTGCGAATAGCACGTCTCGAAAAATACTGCGCGTCTAAAGAACGTTTTTTTTTTTTTGAACATTACCGATGCCGTGAGTCACCGTACGTGAGACTCTCCGTGAACTATGTGCGTTCGTCGCCTCGACGCGACGTCAACAACAAGAGTTTTTCGCGCCAATTCCGCGCGGCCACGTGCGTACGATGCCACGCGTTGTACGTCGATGCGACGTGCGCACAGACACGTCATTGTGCATGCCAGTCGCTCTGTCCCATTTCAATGATACATATATCAGTATTAATCCATCGAGAACGGTGTCGTGACCGATGGAAATAAATGATTTCAGTAGCGTGCCGCCTTCGAATTAGCTATGAAATTAAAAGCTTCATCGTGCATATCAAAACGTTTTCAAATTAACACTTTTAGCAGAACAAAAAACTTCCGTTACAGATTAAAAAAAGATGAAATTATTTATTAAATCGCAAACATATTCTTCATTGGATAAAATTTTCAGTTATGATTTCTATGAGTTTTTCTTATTAATTAAAACTATTTATATTTGTATTTAACGTTTCCCACTGAATTATCGATAATGAGAGTAATTATTAAAAGATTCTTTCGTGGAAGCACAGGAGTCGTATACAAATTTGCTAAAAATGACGGGTAATACAAAATCCAATATCTGCTTTCCTATTTACAAAGATAGAAGCATTAATTCGCCCCTAGCGAGCGGTATTAAGGGGTAACGAGCAGCCTGCGCCGGGGAAACTAAGGGATGAAGGAATGGAGGGAGATCGGGAGCAAGACAGAAAGAGAGAGGGGTAAATTTTCAAACGGGGTAACGGGGATAGGGGAGTGTTTAGGGTGCCACCCTGACGAACCTGGGCGCGGCATTGGTGCATGGTATGTGCGGGGTGCGCACTCTTGCAGCTCGCAAATACTGGGCCGGCGGTCCGGGGAGAGGAAGAAGGACGACGAGGGTGGATGTCAGGGGGACAGGGTGAAGATACCGGGGAATGGAAGGGGACAGGAGGGATGGACGTATCAGATCGATACTCGGCGAAAAGCGCGGGCCGAACGGAGACGGCGCGGTTGTGTGTATCTACGGTTGGTCCATCGTGAAATCCGGATGTTGCGACTACGCACAATCTACGCGGTGGAATATTCGAATCAATGTCGACTGGATACTCGTCTCTATTCGTACGTGAATGAGAAAAAGAATCTGTTCGTTCCAGATGTGTTGTATTGCGCTCGAAATGAGATATAAATACATAGGCGTGTGACTTGGAGGACTTTACGTGACAAATCTTATTATAATTTACGCACAAAGTTTCTCTGAACGAACGATTTTGTGCGTAAATTTTAATAAGATTTGTCACGTGATTTCTCTTCTAATTGGAATCCCTTTTGTATTCGCTCATTTCAGCGGCGTTCCCACTGTCAGAGCTCGTCGATTGTTCGTTATTAGTTTTTAATGTGAGATAATCATGGAAAGGCACATGGAGGATGGAAGGAAAAAAAAAAGAATTGCGGGGACGAGCGTAGAGGAAGGTGGCTCTACTACGAAGCATATAGTAAGCCGTGCATATAGTAAGCCAACTGTAGTACTATGGACTTAGTCACACCCACAAGCCGGTTGTGGGTTCAAGATCCTCGTACGCTCTTTCTCTCTCCTCTACCTACGTATATATGTATATATATATATATACACACACTTATGCAGCAGCCTGCGTGTAATTGTAATTGTACGCGAGGCATACGCGAGGTTCTCGTACATAGGGAATCTATCGTCTTTACCTAGCGTAGTGAGACACTAAGCCACCGATTCTAGGTACTCGCTATATTTGCAACTTACGACGTTGATAAAGACGTGAGATAACGTGGGAATTTTTTAAGCGTACAGTCAGACGTAATTGTTGAGATTCTTGTACAATCAGAGATGAATATTTTACACAGCCAGCTTCTTATAAATTGATAATACATTCTATTTATAATACATTCTTGTATTTTTTTTTATTAAAACACAAAGAGGCCGTCGAGAATGATTTATGAATTGAGAGATACAAAGGTTGATCCTTGAATCACCTCGATCGACGGATAAGCACGGTATTTCGAAGAACAGACCTGCTTTCGTTCGACAAACTCTCTCAGGAACTCTCACGTGCTCGCGTGAGCTATTATTCCTCAACAGAGCGATTCGTAGTGCCGTAGACATTGATCTTAGATGCCTTTAATGGAGAAGCATTCTGTGAAAAAATGATCGATCTATATGAGAAGAATGTTGTTCCGAAATATGTCGCGGTATCGCTAAAAAAATCACGCACGTTCATTGAGATATATATATATATAGAAGTTCCATGATGGCCGGAAGAAAATGATGGAAAATTTTCAGATATGCAATCGCTGTAGCATAAAATTGCGTAGATGACTGCCTACAAACACATAATATATATAGTCTCCGACATAGTCTCGGAGAGATGATGTAACAAAATATAATCAGATATAAATGGATACAATAAAATTCAACGTATATATAAAAATTCTGTGAGACAATATCGTTTTACAACTCTCTCTATACATATATATAATATAGCTAGACTCTTTATGGAGCTATAAAAGTACAATTTCGCTTTCACGATAGACAAACTTCATATTTCGGGGTTTCATTATATCGCTTTTACGAAAATAAAACTCTGGGCGAATAATTCGCGACGAGTTGCAATTTAGTTATACATTATTTGGCAAGTTTCTAAGGACAGTCTTCTAAAAATGTTATTATTCGTCTTCTTGCAGTCGAGTGAATGGAATTGGATACCGTAAATGCGTACAGCACCGTCGGGATGGAGCAGGGATTGTCTGGGGATCCATGGGACTGTCTGTTTAGTGACAGCATCTCGGACGCCTTCCAGGGTCGTCCAGAGATGTTACATATGGGTATTCGGCGTTGCGATAATACGAGCCAAATCGGCTGGTTTGGTCCAGGCCTTGGCTTCGATTTCGACGACGTCTTGACGGAACCCGATGAAGATCCGCTTGCCATGAATGACAAAAGCCGCAGTTCGAACAGGTAAAACGAATCCTTCGAATTTTCTATTTATAATAACCATGAAATAGAAATATTATTAGTACCAGTAAACGTTGCTTAAAGGTAAAAAAGAGGAAAGAATGTGTTAATTCAGGATTTCGAAATATTTTTGACTGAGACTTGGAAATTTAAATTGAATCGAAAGTTAAATTGAATTAAGAAAATCTTATTTAATTTTAATTAATTTTATAAAAAGTTTAAAGAGCACATGACAAACAAAATGTCGATATAATATGATTATTGTATTATTTATGGAAAGCAATAACAATTGTATCGTGCGCGATTACATACATTTGCCAACTTTCCGAATAAACGACATAGTAATCGACCAATACATTGGGTGGCTTCTGTAATGTCGTTTTATCTTGGTACTCATTGAATGTCAAGAAAGATAGACTGATGTTTGTGTCATTGAATGAACGGAAAGTACCCTTTGTCTATCGTGTGCTCTTACTCTAACATTATGTCTGTGTTTGATAGCAACCTGGAAGAATTGAATCTGGACAGTGACAGCGAACTGGCTTTGACGTTGGATCCAAATTTGATACTACCGTGTAACATGCCTATCCGCAGCCCCGCGACAAATAGCGACGCAGCGATGCTGGAAACAGCGAGCGTGGAGGAGAACGCTGTTGAAAACGAGGGAGATGAGACGGAGAACGAAAGTGAGGTCGAACGAACTGAAAACGATGAAGAGAATGAAAGCGAGGAGGAAGAAGAGATCGAAGTTGAGGATAACGAGCATAATGAGACGGAGTACGAGACGGAAGAAGAAGAAACGGAAGAGGAAGAGGTAGAGGAAGACGAGGAGACGGATGATGAGGAACAGGACATGACTCAAAAGTCGCTTACACCCTTGAATGTGGAGGTGCCGATATCATCATCATCGGGCAACGTCGGCGCCAGGACGTTAACCGGTGCCAATATGGCCATCTCGTCGCCGACGATACAACTGACGAGGTTGCATCCTAAAATAAGCACCATATCAAACACAGCCAAGGACATCAAGATGCTGCAAACTAATCCAGGTGCCCAGGCGTTGCAGATTCGCAAACATATGTCCTACAACAATAATGTGCACGACGTCAGTACAGGTGCGACGACGACGGTCATGATACAGGCGGCAAAGCGTGAGAAGGAGTTAATGTCAGGGAACCGTGACAACTCTTATCCGAAACCTGCGTACTCGTACTCATGTCTCATCGCGATGGCACTGAAGAACAGCCAAACAGGATCGTTGCCAGTTTCAGAAATCTACAATTTCATGTGGTGAGTGCTCTTAAATTTATTAATACAGAAAAATACATTAGATATTTAATCAACTCTTGTATAAATTGCTAGATAATTAAATATTTAATTAATATTTAAATAATTTTTAGACAAAAATTTCAAGAGACAAAAATTTTGTTTAAATTTAATCATTTTTCAAATGTGCGCCCCAAGTTAATATTTTGCCTATTGCTTGAAAATTTGTATTGCTGCAAATAACTACTTTTATGATTTTATAAGATCTAATTATGTGACTTTCTTAAAAATATCGGAAAGGAATTCATTTAGTTTAGCTTTGAATAAAATAATTTCGATCGAATACCTTCTTTAATAAATTTTTTTTCGAATTTTTTTTCTCGCGCTTTTGAAAATTGAAACTGAAACATTTACTCTGAATTTGTTTGTTAATATATTATTCATTATAATTGACAATGAACGTGAGTCGTAAGAAATAATGTTTTCGAGATGAACGACAAGGAACTTTTTATGAATAACGTGTCGTCCGTTTGGCTTATTTTCGGCCATTTGGCCGGAAGGATAAAGGGACTGGCGAGGTCCCCTACTCTACGCTTAGGTATACGAGGGGCAAAAGTATTGTCTTTTCCCTCTTTATTCTCGGGTCAGAAAGGGAGCTAAGCGAGAAGCTGCCATTTTGTACGGGGCCCTTGGAACAACCAGGGGCACGCCGGGGTACAGTCCCCCCTAGAAATCGACGGCAGGCTTCGCTCTCTTCGTTTACCACCTGCCTTCATTTCTTGTCGTTGCAACTCCATGCTTGTAAAATCGACCATGCTTATAAAATAACTGTCGTTCCTTGCAGTCATGTTTCGTTTGAATTTTTTCATTTCAAACAAATGTTAAAATACAGCTAATTTACAGATTGTCTCGTTTTTCAAAATAACGAAAAAAAGCCATATTTCTTGAGAAAATGAAATTTGTTAGAATTTTATCCGAATATTATTAATCAATTTTATATAAATTTAATTGTCAATAATTTAAGTGTCAATTACCAAATAATTCTCTGATACCTAATATATGATTTTTTTTTGTTAATGAAAATTTCGATTCGCGCAAATTTCATTTCCCATTTTCCCGTTTCGTTTATGCAGCCGGCACTTCCCCTACTTCACGACTGCGCCAACTGGTTGGAAGAACTCCGTGAGGCACAATCTGTCGCTGAATAAGTGTTTCGAGAAGATTGAGAAGCCACCCGGCAATGGTAGTCAACGAAAGGGTTGTCTCTGGGCCATCCATCCGTCGAAAGTGACTAAGATGGACGAGGAGGTGCGGAAATGGTCGAGAAAGGATCCGAGCGCGATCAAGCGAGCCATGGTGAATCCGGAACAGCTGGAGTTCCTCGAACGGGGTGAGATGAAGTACGAAGGAGACAAACACGATGAGGCATACGATGACGCAGAGAGCTACGCGGATTCCGAGACTGGTGGGTCCGTGGTAGACGAGACAATTAACGACGATGAGAACGTTACGTATGATGAAACCAAGCAGATCGATATCGTCGACGACGATATCGTTGTGGAGCAGCTCTACGAGGATCTTGATCTCATGAATGCCACCAAGTTACTCGACACGCGACTAAACAATTTTTCTAGGCAAGAACAGCCATTGGTGTATGAATTTGTCTCGTGCTCGAAGCGCCAGAAAATGTTGACGGGCAACGATTTTATTTGTCAACCTGTCCAACGACAGGACGCGGCGTCGCCCCGGAAAAAAGCACACCTCGTGGCGTTACGGCCCGGAGGCACCGCTCCTCCGGATGCCGAATCGCTTCTCGAAGCGGATTAAATTCCTGGGACATTTATATGATCTCCTATTTAAATAATATACACGCGGCCAAGTACACACCTCCTTTTTTTATTGCTAGACCATTGTAAATAATTGCGTCCTGTAACTTTTTTTACAGTCTGAGATTTTGTAAATACTTGTGTTTTATACGATGATGTACCTTTTTTATACAATGCGCTTGTACATAACTGTAATTTTTAAGTGTACAAATATCTGTACATATACAATGTACAAAGGCTATTTTTTTTTAGAACCATAATGTGGGACCATCCTATAGGCATGCGCATAGAAAAGTTTTTCAAATACAAATGGTTATTTAATATTACTCTACGCATGTCCGCATATTTACAAGAAAATAGCCATAACAAGCAAGAAAAATTCCGATTAAATCCGACGATAGAAGGTGCTTATCCGGGGACGACTATTGTGTATTACTAAATTAGCGCTCGCCTAACATGTCTAACGGCGCCACAACAATTTTATAATAAACATTTTTTAATGATCCATTAATCTCTCGATCTTTTTATTTGCAACTCTCGAAAAATACAGAACACAAATAATATGCGCCAGCTTCCACGTACCGTCCGCGATAGGAACTAAATTAACACGAAGCTCACGAATCGTCACTGCCAAGAATGGTCAAAGATAAAATAAGAACGTAGCGGATTAACATGTAGATTACGTAAGGATAAGACACGCGATCTCATAGCGATCTTTCGAGGACTGTAACTCATTCAGTGCTACTCCTTTATGCGTAATTATTATGTAAAGTTTTTTGAGAATCTTTTTTTTTATGAAATCGTATTTAGCTCGTGTAATTTTTTGTGTATTATATAATATATATATCGACTGATATTGCTAATTAACAATAGGAAATCCCTAATTTATTCTAATTTTAATTGGTATCAATTTTTTACGTTGACAATTTTAGGATTCCAAATTTACATAAGAGAATGTTCGAATGTTTATAGAATATGGATGAAGTTTCGATGATGATATTTTGTTTTCCATTATATATTTTTGGATTTCAATAAATTGTTAATAGGCAAATCTATCGTAGATTCCGAAAATTTTATCTCCTATTACAACATGAAGTTTCAACGATGATCTTCTTTTTGATATCAAAATTTCATTATTGAGTTTTATGTTTATAAAAATATGAATAAGTCAATAATAAATACTTTTTTTTTAATATTAAAAATTCTTGATAACTTCAAATAAATTTGTCGTAATTCATCAATTTAAAAAATTTCATTGTGAGTTTCATCTTTATTAAAATTTGGACGAAATTTTATCAATAAATTTTTTTCTTCTGATGTTAAAAAGTTTCGATAAAATTAAATAGACGTATTTGTCGTAAGACGTAACTTTCGAAAATTTAATTATGAAGTTTCATCTTTATGAAAACATGAACGAAGTTTCAACGATAAATTTTTTTTCTTTCCGATGTTAAAAGTTTTCAATAAGTTCTACGTCAAATAGATGAATTTGATGTAGATTTAAAAAATTTTATCTTCATGTGAACATGGATGTGGTTTCAATAATAAATTCTTTTTCTTTTATAATATTTTTTATATAAAAAATGTTTGATAAATTTGAATTAGATTTGTCGTACACCACACATTTTAAGAATTTCATCGTCGAGGTTTCATCCGATTACGATATGGTGTAATTGTACATTATATGTATATGTATATCGTTCGCTGCGTTCGAACGTAATTTCATTCCACGCGAGCAAGACCAAGCTCTAACGCTTACATGGCATTTAGATAAACAAATAGGTGGTTGTGATTGAAAGAGAAAGAGAAAACGAGCGAGAGTGGTAGTATAAGATAGCAGTTAAATTAAAGTAGCGTAGTTTTTGTACCTGTTTGTAATATTTCTATATATAGTGTTAATGAGTGTGTAACTTTCGTGTAAAAAAATACACGAAATTAATGCGTAAAAATTGTATAATGTGCAATGACTGCAACTTTATAATAAAAACATTGATAAGCGTACTTCGCATCTCGAGTTCGTTGTCGCGTTCGTTATATTGATTCCAATTAATCGTGGTAATCATCGATAAGATCCTCTTTCAATTTTTTATGTGTATATATACAGGTAATTAATTTATGCGATTTAATTGCATTAAATATTCCAAGTATATTTTTCTTGCTAAATATTGTATTTAGCTTCACGAGTGCGCACGGGTCCCCGGAACATTCATCCCGCTTACGTAATCTGGCGTGAAGAGAAAAAAAAGAGGAAAAGGACGGAGAGAAACAGAGAGAGAGAGAGAGAGAGAGAGAGAGAGAGACGAGGGTTGACACACCGTTCTTGCATCTGCGTGCATGCGTTTATCGATACGCAACCGCCGCGGACGCGTGTCGTCCGCATGTCGATTACATACGATCAGCGATAACCAGTTTACGCGCGTACACGCCGCGTCGACGGGGCCCTCGTCTATTGAAACGGGCCGATTCATATTCGGTTCGCCTGGCGGAACGAGAGAAACGAAGAGAGAGGGGGGGGGGGGGGGGCCTTCCGCCAATGGAACCGGTTTCTCAGTCGAGCTCTGATCACAAAGAACTCGGCCGCATTCACGTGAGTTCGCCACCGCATCGGGGCCCTCGGTTGCAGCTCCGACTTCGGGTCTCGTCGCCTCGACAATTTTCACTGATGCTCAACATTTCTATCATTGTAAATTAGTTTTAATTTTGGTTCAAGTTACTTTTTACCTTTCTAAGAATTTCAATTAAAAAATTATATTTTTCTAATTCTAATAAAAGAAAATTGTATACTTTTTAATCTTAAAAATTAGAAATTTGTGAATTAAAGAATTGTTATATAAATTTGAAATTTTGCAATTTTTCTAGTTCTGAGAATTAGAAAAAGAATTAGGGCAAATCAAACCGAGATTAAAGTTAATTTTTTAGTAAATTAATTTTAACAAATCGATGTTCATTTTTATCAATGTAGATTTTTATTTACTCTCTAAATTTTTTGAAGAGGAATCTTACTTTAAAAAATACAAATTGAGCGAGTCTTGAAAAAGAGCGGCTCAATTTTTAATCTTTATGAGTGAGATTTCACTCTATAGAGTAAGATACAATTAAAACTTACAGTTTTAAAGAATACTTTTTACGCTTTTCTAATTATTAGACATAGAAAAAGTAAGTAGGTAAAATCAAGAAAGTTAATCTACATTGGTAGAAACAGGCATAATTCTGTTTGTAAAAATGAACACGAGACAATTTTCCTTCAACGTTCCCGATCGTCTCGTACTGGTGAACTCTCGATGACGGAGACTCGCCCGCATTTCCCGTGCTAAATCGTAGATTGGAAAACGAATAAAGAGGAAGGATTAAGATGCACCTTCCACAGAACTAGCTGACCCGTTCCGTTCGGTCGTCCGCACAAAGGCGATCTTTCGTACGTTCGCGCGGGAATTCGCGTATACATTCTGATATTATACATTCCGAGTGTACGTCCTGCCCCTCCCATCACTTCTGTATTTATCAGTTGCATCGTGCATCGCAGTGCATCGCCGCGGACGTTTCGTCAGGTGTTTCGAGCACTCAACCGAGACGCGCGATCAGGATCGGTTTATGGTCGCGAGGAACCCTGGGATAAAAGGAATCCCTTAAATAAAAAATTGAAACATCGTATTCGTTTCGATAACTTTTGTCATATTTTTTAGGATTTATTTAAGATAGAAGGAGATACATAGATATCATTTTATTTCAAGCAAGTCCTGAAAAATATGACGAGCCAAAATTATGGTATCCAATCTCTTGAGGAAGAGAGAAACGAAATTTCTGATGATTTATTTCCTAAGATTTATAAGAATGACGAGTGTTTCGATTAATAAAGAGACATTCGACGACAGTCGCAATTTCATCGAGTTCCAAAACTCCCATTGAAAAGAAAAGACAAAAAAAAAAAAAGAAAATCCACAGTGCAGAAAGCAAGTTCGCTAACTTTGTTAGCTCCCATCGCTATCGATGCTACGGTCCTGATCGATACGGCCGATTCCCGCCGATTATCCGGGCGCGACGCTTCGAAAACTCCCACGCTCATACTCTGGTTCTTATCGCTGCTGCGTTACAAGCGCAATGAGTGCGGGATTAGAGCGCTGTAAGACAAGGCCGGATAGATACGATACGATACGCGTGACCTCGTGCCGATGCGTGGCGCAGTCGCATGCGTGCGTGCGTGCGTGCGTGCGTGCGTACGAGAAGAGATGCGAGAGAGAGAGAGAAAAAATCTTGAACCCACAACCGGCTCGTGGGTGTGACTGACTCATAGTACTATTACTATACTACAGTCGATACTCGCGTCGTAGTATTCTCCCTCCTCCCCTCTCCTCCTTCCTTTCTACTTTCCTTTGGAGCTTCTTTCCCCCTCCCCTTCTTCTCTTCTCTCTCACTCATCCTTTCTCGTTTTCTCTTCCCCTCTTTTTCTCTTGTTTTCTCTATCCTTCTCTCTCATTCTTCATCCTTTCTCTCTCTCTCTCTCTCTCTCTCTCTCTCTCTTTTCTCATTTTCTTTCTCTTTCTTTCTGCTTTTTCTCCGTTTAATCCTTTCTCTTTATCGCGCAATTTCCAGTCGGGAAACGAGACGGCCGTACAGTTAAAAGGTTACACGAATATGCGCACGTCTTTCCACGCCGTAAATTTTGTAAAATCTAATTTTCTATCACTACTGGAACGTGAAATGGATTTCCGCGAATTCATAAAAAATAAATAATCTAATACGGCTTCCCATAACGTTCAATTCTCGTCCCGTCTCTTGATTCTCCCGTCCAGCTGCGTGTCGCTTTTACGACACGCCATGTGTACGTCCCGACACGATGCCTATATTACGTACGTATGATGACTTATCAGCTGTATCATAAGGGAAGGAAGAGCGAGTAACTTGAACCTGCACTCTTTCACGATGCAATCATGCAAGCCAAGTTGCGCTGCTATATTAATGATTTTCCCAGCAACGTTAAAAGTAAGAATAATCAAGCATAAAGCGAATCGCGAAAATAATTGTTTATATATATAATCTAGCTAATGTTTTTTTTCCCATTTTTTAATATTTTTTTTCCCACTATCGTACGACTCGTATATCATGTAATATTTATTTCTATCTCGTATATAGGTTTATATCATATATCTAACATTTATTTAAGAAATGAAACTTCACTTTCGATTCAAACGGTGATACGAATGGAAAACGCGCATCCTCGTGTTTGTTTTTCTTCCTAGTTTTATTATCTATCAATTATTTATAGAACTCCGCTCCACACGTGGAATCTATGTTGAGCGCGATTCTCTCAAAGGCGGCCACCCCAGTGCAATCGGGAGATAAGTTAATCTCACTGAATAGGAATTCTTGCGGAGTGAAGAGAAAAGGAAGGAGAAGTAGAAGCGGCCTGGAGAAGTCGGGTCGTCTCTAACCGGCAAGGCGGAAAAGAGAGGAAACGCATACTGGCGCATTATGCTCGGCAGACATCGTAGGCGCGATTCCTTTCTCCCCAAC